GGCATTACATAATGGAAAGGGTTCAATTCAACAAGAAGATTTAACTATCCTAAATATATATGCACCCAACAAAGGAGGACACAGATTGGTAAAGCAAGTTCTTAGAGACCTTCAAAGACTCCCACACAATAATGTTGGGAGACTTCAATACTCCACTGACAGTATTAGAGAGATCATCAAAGCAGAAAATTAACAAAGATATTCAACACCTTAATTCAACATTGGACCAAATGTAACTGATAGACCTTTACAGAACTCTCCATCCCAAAACAACAGAATATACATTCTTCTCATCACCACATGGCACATACTCCAATATTTACCTCATAACTGGACATAAAACAATCCTTAACAAATGTAAAAGAACCATGATCATACCAAACACACTCTCAGACCACAGTACAATACAAACAGAAGTCAAGACTATGAAAATTGCTCAAAACCATGCAATTACATGGAAATTAAACAACTTTCTCCTGAATGACTTTTAGGTAAATAATGAAATGAAGGCAGCAATCAAAACGTTCTTTGGGCTAGGCATGGTGACTCACAGCTGTAATCCCAGCACTTTGGGAGGCTGAGGCAGGCACATCACTTGAGGTCAGAAGTTGAAGACCAGCCTGCCCAACATGGCAAAACCCCATCTCTAATTTAAAAAAAAAAAAAAAAATACAAAGATTAGCTGGGCATGGGGGTGGTGCGGGCCTGTAATCCCAGCTATTCAGGAGGCTGAGGCAGGAGAATCACGTGAACCCAGGAGGCGGAGGCTGCAGTGAGCCAAGATCACACCACTGCACTCCAGCATGACTCCATCTCAAAAAACAAATAAACAAACAAACAAAAAACAAAAACAAAAACAAAAGTTCTTTGAAAATAATGAGAACAATGATACAACATATCAGAATCTCTGCTAAGGCAGTGTTAAGAAGGAAATTCACAGCACCAAATGCTGACATCAAAAAGCGAAAAAAATCTCAAATTAACAACCTAATTTTACAACTTAAAGAATTAGAAAAGCATGAACAAATCAATCCAAAAGTTAGCAGAAGATGAGATATAACAGAAATCAGAGCTGAACTGAAGAAAATTGAGGCATGAAAACCACTCAGAAGATCAATGAATCCAGGAGTTGGTTTTTGAAAAAATTAACAAAACAGGCCACTAACTAGACTAATAAAGAAGAAAAGAAAGAAGATCCAAATAAACACAATTAGAAATGGAGAAGAAAATGTTACTACTGACCCCACAGGAAAAAAAAAATCAGAAACTACTATGAACACCTCTACACACAAAAACTAGACAATCTAGAAGAGATGGATACATTCCTCGACACATACACCCCTCCTAAGACTGAGCCAGGAAGAAACTGATTCCCTGAACAGACCAATTATGAGTTCCAAAATTGAATCAGTAATGAATAGCCTACCAACTAAAAAAAGTTTGACGCCTGATGGATTCGCAGCTGAAGTTTACCAGATGTACAAAAAAGAGCTGGTACCATTCCTACAGAAACTAATCCAAAATACTGAGGATGAGGGACTCCTCCCTAACCCTCATTCTATGAGGCCAGCATCATCTTTATACCAAAAGTTGGCAGACACAAAACAACAACAAAAAACTTCAGGCCAATCAAGTAGGCTTCATTCCCGGGACACAAAATTGGTTCAATATATGCAAATCAATAAATGTGATTCATCACATAAACAGAACTAAAGACAAAAATCACATGATTATCTCAACAAACACAGAAAAGTCTTCTGATAAAATTCAGCATTCCCTCATGTTAAAAATTCTCAATAAATTAGTTATTGAAGGAACATACCTCAAAATAATAAGAGCCATCCCTGACAAATCCACAGCCAACATCATACTGAATGGGGCAAAGCTGGAAGCATTTCCCTTGAAAATCAGCACAAGACAAGGATGCCCTCTTTCACCACTTCTATTCAACACAGTATTAGGAGTCCTTGCTGGAGCAACCAGGCAAGAGGAAGAAATAAAGAGCATCTAAATAGGAACAGAAGAAGTTAAACTATCTCTGTTTGCAGAGGATATGATTCTGTATCTAGAAAATCCCATAGTCTTGGCCCAAAAGCTTCTCCAGCTGATAAACAACTTCAGCCAAGTCACGGAATACAAAATCAATATACAAAAATCAATAGCATTCCTATACATCACCAACAGCCAAACTGAAAACCAAATGAGAAAGGCAATCCCATTTATAATTGCCACAAAAGAATACAACATCTAGGAATACCAGTAACCAGAGAGGTAAAAGATCTCTACAATGAGAATGACAAAACATTGCTCAAAGAAATAAGAGAAAACACAAACAAATGGAAGGACATTCCATGATCATGGATAGGAAGAATCAGTATAATTAAAATGGTTATACTGTCCAAAGCAATCTTCAGTTTAATGCTATTCCTATAAAGCTATAAATGACATTCTTCACAGAACTAAAAAAAAAAAAAAAAACTATTTAAAAATTCATATGGGAACAAAACAAAAAAGAGCCTACATAGCCAAGGCAATCCTATGCAAAAAAAACCAAAAAGCTGGAGACACCCGGATACCTGACTTCAAACTATACTACAACGCTACGGTAACCAAAACAGCATGGTACTGGTACAAAAACAGGCACACAGACCAATGGAACAGAATAGAGAGCCCAGAAATCTGATTGCACATCTATGACCATCTGATCTTTGACAAAGCTGACAAAAGCAAGCAGTGGGAAAAGATTCCGTATACAAGAAATAGTGCTAGGCTAACTGGCTACTCATACACAGAAGACTGAAGCAGGACCCCTTCCTTATACCATACACAACAATCAACTCAAGATGGCTTAACGACTTACATGTAAAACTCCAAACTATAAAATCCCTGGAAGACAACTTAGGCAATACTATCCTGGACATAGGAATAGGTAAAGATTTCATGACAAAGACATCAGAAGCAATCACAATAAAACAAAAAATTGACAAGTGGGATCTAATTAAATCTAAGAGCTTCTGCAGAGCAAAAGAAATTATCAACAAACAGACAACCTACAGAATGGGAGAAAATGTTTGCAAACTATGTACCTGACAAAGGTCTAAGATCTAGAATCCATAAGGAACTTAAACAAATTTATAAGAGAAAAACAATCCCATTAAAAAGTGGGCAACTCACATGAGCAGACACTTCTCAAAAGAAGACATACATGTGGCCAGCAATCACATGAAAAAATGCTCAACACCACCGACCACTAGAGAAATGCAAATCAAAACCACAATGAGATACCATCTCACACCAGTCAGAATGGCTATCATTAAAAAGGCAAAAGAATAAAATGCTGGTGAGGTTGCAGGGAAAAGGGAACACTTGTAACACTGGTGGTAGGAGTGTACATTAGTTCAACCATTGTGGAAAGCAGTATGGTGATTCCTCAAAGAGCTAAAAGCAGAACTACCATTTGACCAAGCAATCCCTTTACTGGGTATATACCCAGAGGGATATAAATCATTCTACCATAAAAAGATATGCATGTGAATGTTCATCACAGCACTATTCACAATAGCTAAGACATGGAATCAACCTAAATGCCCATCAATGACATACTTGATAAAGAAAATGTGGTACATATATACCATGGAATACTATGCGCCATAAAAATAATGAGATCATGTCTTTGGTGGGAACATGGATGAAGCTGGAGGCTATTATCCTCAGCAACTTATTGCAGAAACAGAAAATCAAATACCACATGTTCTCACTCATAAGAGGGAGCTAAATGATAAGAACTTATGAACACAAAGAAGGAAAGAGCCATCACTGGGGTCTACTTGATGGGAGAGGGTGGGAAAAGGGAGAGGAGCAGAAATTATAACTACAGGGTACTGGGGTTAATTAATACCCAGCTGATTAAATAATATGTACAACAAATCCCCATGACACGTGTTTACCTGTGTAACAAACCTTCATATGTGCCCCCAAACCTAATATAAAAGTTAAAAAAATAAAAAAGAAACTTTGTAAATGAAATAATTTGAAAAAAATAGAGGACAGTGAAATAATCAATATTTTTCTACAAACAGCTAAACTAGTAGATGGAAATTTCATTAAAAAGATATTCTTTAAAAGAACAAGAACGTAAAGAGAAACAGAACTGTTCAAAAACAGTAACTAACTATGGACTCAGGGATATAAAATACATATTAATATTTGACTGTTTAGCTGTAGAATGTGGTTAAGTTTCTTAAAAGCATTTGCAAATAACTATTCCAAATGCTCCACACTTTTCTAATACACTGAATCAAAACCATTTTACTCTATTTTAAAAGATTTCTGTAAACATCGGATTAGAAACTATGATTATTATTCTCAGGATACCTATGATATGGATGAGCAAGACACATATGAAACAGGTCTGGAATAACACCATAGCATTTGTGGCTAGGTGTGATGTGATTAGATTGCCACAGAACCGCCAAGGAAGAAAAATAAGTCTTGGAAAAGGTTGGGCTGGAGCTTACCCCAGGGCCAAAGCAGGATTTGGACTAGCACAGTGGCAGAGGGAGAGCATTTTATATAAGGAACACCATGCCTTTGCCAAGGGGTAACAAAGAGGCTGAACTCGAGGATATTTGTGAGAAATAAGGAAAAAGACAAGCTTGGGAAGGGAAGAGGGTACAAATTACCAAAAGTCCCGAAGTGTCAGGCTGAGTCCCACAGACTCATTTTATATTTTAGTAAGAGAGAAATGTTATATACATGTGATGTGATACTGTTCATAAAGAAAAAATTATTTAAAAAGAGGAACGAAGTGATGAAAACGAGAACTGAAAAATTTTAATCTGTGAATGGCGCTCACAATGAAGGAGAGGGCTGGAAGCTAATGCCATCACAAAAGAAACAAGGCGCTGGATGGCAGGGGGCAGCTTAGGGAGTAAGGGTAGAGGTGGGAATAGAAAACAAAGGCAGTAAAAGTTAGTAAAAATTTGGTTGGAAATAATTACCCAGAAAAATCTTCTTGATGCATGGTGATGATTATGGCCTCTATAGCATCTCCCACAGAAGTGAGTAAGGGTTGCACAGCATTTTCCATAAGAGCATGAATAGCCTGAAAAGAAGAGAAACAGAGTAAGGGGCAAAATTAAAGAAGACCAACACAAAGAAATCTGAGATGTGAGAAACACCGTGACTAACAGTTTTCATATTATATCAAATGCAGATTAAGTTAACAGAAGTCTGCTCCTCTCCCTAACCACTATTGGTAATGATTTTTAAAGCTTAAAATACGTGGAAGACGGCACTAAACAATTTCAATATCCCCATTCTTGTCACTTTTCCCAAAAGGTTCAGTGGTTAAATGTGTCCATGGAGAAAGGAAGGCATACAGAAGAAGACAGTAGTTCGACTAATGAGGTAAAGGTCAAATAAACACATTTAAGTTTCACAGAAGAGTTAGGTAAGACCAAAAGTAACTATTTAAGAATTGGAAGAACATCCTATGCTTTTAACCAAAGTGAATATAATAAACAGATATTGATTCTCTCTCTAACTTTTAGGTTCAGGGATACATGTGTAGGTTTATTATATAGGGGTTTGCTGTGTCGTGGGGATTTGTTGGACAAATTATTTCATCACCCAAGCACTAAGCCTAGTACCCAATAGTTATTTTTTCTGCTCCTTCCCCCTGCTCCCACCTTCTACCCTTAAGTAGGCTCCAGTACAATGATTCTAACAGGGCACAACAGTTGGGCATTTTAAGAGTTAGGTTTCTGTTGAGAGTTCTACAGCAGTGATTCTCAACCATGGACAGTTTTGCTCCCCAGGAAACATTTGGTATTGTTCGGAGACATTTTTTATTGTCACAGTTGGGGATAGGTGTACAAGTTTGTTACTAGCATCTGGTAGGTGGAGGACAAAGATGCTGATAAACATCCTATGGAGCATAGAACAGCCCCTATAACAAAGAATTCTCTAGCTCAAAATGTCGACAGTGCCATGGTTGGGAAACTGTTCAATGGGGTTTAAATCGTCAGTTACTTGATGTAAAATCCTAGGTCTTAGTTATGAGTTTTTGGTGTGGAAGTAATGACTGAGGCTTCAAACACTTATAATAAAAAAATGTAAGTATATTATAGTCACTTCAAAGATAAATAAATATAATGAAGATAGATAGTTTTGGCTCAAACAAATCATCAAAATAAATGAGAAAAAGTAAAATATAGGATCCTTAATCATTAAATACCTAATCTATAGCCCTTAATCACTGGTAAAAATAAATATACAATGTACAGGAATGTGTGTGTAGGTATATATGTATGTGTGAGAAAGAGAGTGTGTGTGTGTGTGTGTGTGTGTGTACACATAAAGTGTGCCTTCCATATAGGAGCTCAGAGGCCAGTGATAATAGTTAAAAAGTTATACAGGTTGAGTAGCCCAAAATCCAAAATCTGGAAAGGTCCAGTGAATACTTCCTTTGAGCATCATGTTGACACTAAAAAAGTCTTGGATTTTCCCAGGCATAGGAGTTTGGGAAAGTTGAGGTACTTGGACAACCACAAGGCATACAGCACATACAGATTACAAGTGTTTGGAAGAGACAGAGGTACAGGCTACTAAGAAGATAGGAATTTATCCTAAAGGGACCAGGAAACCAATGATGAGTTTTAAGCAATACAAAAAATGTGGTTAATGATTTGGATTTAGGAAAAATCATGTTGGATAATAAATTGGATGAATTAGACTACAAAAAGGAGTACAACTATGAGGTCACAGCAGTGGTACTGAGCTGCTGGAGACTGAGAGAGGGAGCTTGAAAAGGAGAGAGCTCGAGAGGACTGCCTAATTTTATGCTTAAACTCAGCACAAGTCTTCAGCTAACTCATTAACAATGCAAGTGGAAAGCAAACTAAATGTGGCTTGCAATTGAGGCTTAAAGAAGTGAATTGACTGAGGTGTGGCCAACTGCAGGTACGAGAGTACACAGTTTGAGTATAACCAAGTTAATTGTCTGCTAAAAAAAAAAAAAAATGCTTAAAAAAAAAAAAAAAAAAAAAAAAAAAAAAAAAAATTCCTGGTTCTACACAACATAACATTCACAGTGCTTAGGATTTGTTCAAAATTACTACATATAGAAAATGCTACGAAATTTTATCAATTCTCAAAGGAAAAGACAATCAAGAGATGCCAACCCTGAGATAAACCGGACTCTAGAATTATCAGGCAAGAACCTCAATGAGGCAAAGAAAAATATGCTCACAATAAATAAAATAATAAGAAATCTCAGTAGAGTGAATAAAATGTAAAAAAAAAAAAAAAAGTAATTTTAAACTAAAAAATTATACTATCTGAAATTTTAAAATTGACTGGATAGGCTTAGTAGAAGAATTTTATGTAGCGATGACAGAGGAAAGAGTCAATGAACCTGAAGATAGAATTAACAGAAATCCCTCTGGAGAAAAGAAAACATACTAAAAAATAATTAAACCTATGAAACAGCTGCAAAATGTCTAACATACTGGTGACTGAAGTCCTGTAAGAAGAGAAAAGAATGGGGCAGAGAGAGAGTAAGGCAGCAAAACTACTTGTGAGGGAAAAATGCCTCAAACTTTCCAAAATAATGAAAAGCATGAATTTACAGATTCAGGAAGGTCAGCAGATCCCAAACAGGATAATTTTGATGCGAACTATGCCTAGGCACACCATAAACTGCTGCAAACCAAAGATAAACAGAAAACCTTGAAACTAGGAAAAAAAAAAAAACATACAAGGGAAATAATTTTAATAAGTAATGACTTCTTATTAGAAAGCATGGAGGCCAGAAAACAGTAGAACATATTTTAAGTGCTGAGAGAAAAAAAAAAAACCTCTCAAATCCTTAATTATGTTTTCTGTATAAATATCCTTCAAAGATGAGAGTAAAATACATATCTGGCAAAAGAAAATTAGGAGAGTTCATTGCCATCACACTCACATGATAAAATTTAATTTAAACTCATCAGATTTTAAATGATGATTTAATTTAAAATAATTATTAAAAAATCATCATTTGGCTGCTCTGCCTAAGAAATAGTCATTCTTTTGTTTCTTTTCTTAATAAACTTGCTTTTACTTAAAGAAAGGTAAAATCATCAACATTTAATTCTGTTATCAGGATTAAATTAGAAATCAGTAACAAGATATATACAGAAACCAAAAGTAATTAGAAATTTTAAAAACACATCTCTAAATAATCCATAACTCAAACAAGAAATCACAAAGGAAATTAGAAAAATATTTCAAACTGAATAAAGATAGAAGTATATTATAGAAAAATTACAGTGCTTAGTGGAAAATTTATATCGTTAAATGTTTATTTGTGGGGAAAGTAGTCTAAAATCAATGATGTAAAGTCTCAAAAAAACCTTTAAAAAGTAGCAAAGAAAATTCACAAATCCAAAGTTAAACAGAAAATCTTGAAGCCAGCAAAAAGAAGAAAATTAAAAAAGATAAAAGCAGAAATCAATAAAATAGAAAACAAAGAAAACTAATAAAGCTAAAAGCTGTTTCACTGAAAAGATTAACACAGTTGCTAAACTCCTAGCTGGATTGATCAAGAAAAAAACAGAATACAAAGAACAATATCAAAAATGAAAAAGAGGTTATCCTCATAGGTCCTAAAAACATCAAACAGATGGTTAAGTGAGCTCAGCACTGTGGTATATGCCTGTAGCTCCAGCTACTTCAAAGGTTTAGGCAGAAGGATCCCATGAGCCCAGGAGTTTAAGGCTGTAGCATGCTATAATTGTGCCAATGAATAGCCACTGCACTCGAGCCTGGGCAACATAGTGGGACACCATCTTTAAACAAAGCAACTAACCAAGCACAAAAGGATTTTAAATATTATATAGATTATTCTGACAAATGAAATAACTAAGGTGAGTAGACAAACACCTTCAACATCACGAAGTGTCAAAGCTCATTTAAGAAGAATAGATGGCTGGGCGCGGTGGCTCAAGCCTGTAATCCCAGCGCTTTGGGAGGCCGAGGCGGGTGGATCACGAGGTCAAGAGATCGAGACCATCCTGGTCAACATGGTGAAACCC